TGCCACCCTGCGTGTGTTTGTTTTTGCAGCTAGCTTGAGTCGGGTCGCTGTCCATGTCGCTTTGTCAAAGCCAGGCCTTGGCCCTATGGACAGTGGCCGTGGCTTAGCTTCGCCCTCTGGTGATTCGATTGCTTGGAATGCTTGGTGGACACCTGATCCAAACACATGTCTCCTTGTTTGCCGAGAGCATTGGATGCACTTCAAACATTGTGGGAAAGGGGCTTGCCCGTAAATTGCAGTCTACTTGCAGTGGGATTTTGCTGGTTGTGCTGCTTTCACTATCAACATCCGCAGTTCCAAGAAGATGCCGCAATGCATTGTAGCATGGGACTGTTTGGGAGCAGAGCCCTTCACGTCAAGCCATCTTGAAATAAGGGCCGTTTGAAGCAGAGCCAAAGCCACCAACGGAGCTGCCAGCGGCCCAGGCCTTGCTTGAGCTACAACCCACTGGGCCAAATTTGTAGTTTTTTGGTTCGGTAGTTAGGTGTGTTGGCAAGTCATGCTCGTCCAAGAGTGACGACTAGAGCGAAGGGACAAGGTTGCGCAACTCTGAAAGCGTGCACGTGCTCCAGACACATGAACAATGAGAGATGCAATGTGGACATAACTGCATCCCATGAAATGTAGACAAAAATGGATCCTGCCCTTTTCGGTCTCAGTTCTGCTTTGATCACTGTGAATTGTGACCTAAGAACAATACATAAAACCGGCGTGTTCATTTCACAAAACCGGCGTGTTCATTTAATTGCCCTTGGCAACACTGCTACTAGCATGTCGGGCAAGGGAAGTTGCAGCGAAATAGCATCGCAGTTGATGGCAGATGACACAAGCAACTCTCACAGAGTGCGAGGAGACGATTCCGAATTGACAGTGATGTGGGAGGATGACTGCAGACCCTGCGGAAACCAGTGTACAAGTCAATTTGATCGCGCAGGGTGCAACACATCCTTGACATACCCTCCCTCGCTCTCTCCAATGCTCAAAGTAGCTGGTGTGGCCAGCTGTTGAAGGCACAATTATAGATCCAAGTCTGCGTCCAACTATGATTGCTGGAGAACAGCTAGCAGTGTGCGCCCTTGAGCCTCCACTTGTCAATGCAGGTTGGCTGGGGCAAGCCGCATACAAGATGCTGCTTGCCGCCGCCCTGTTATCGAGCTAGGTGATCGAGCTAGGTGATCGTGCCATGCTGAGGATGGCTGCATTTCCACGTCGGTCAACATGATATTTATATTTTTCGAGATGTGTCAGAATCTTGTTCGCGTTTGGGCCACATTGCAAAGGAGGAGTAGCAATGATCGCAAACATAAATAAAACATGAAGCCCATCTCTCCAGACCGTCCCAGTGATGAATTAAACGCATTTAGTACTGTGCTGTACCCTTGTTTGCCGCTGTGCCATACCAACACTGGGGAATGGCAAATGTTGTTTGCCTTCAACTAGGGAGGTAGGACCAATTTAATACACCCACACGGACACAGACACACCCGCGCACAAGACACACAGAGCACACAGATACCCACACACACAACGCTCACACAACGCAGACACAGACACAGACAGACGCAGACAGACACAGACACAGACATAGACACACACACACACACACACGGACACAAATACACAACCAGACCCAATTTTTTGCAAGTCTGCAATACAGCTGCAAGATGTCGCATGCAACGTCAGTTCACAAGAAGGTTTTACCCTTGGCCAGTCCACGGCACATCCCTCTCGAAGCCAGCTCCAGAAGGCGAACTGGCGCGAAAGCCCGTGCGGTCGCCAAAGAACATTGACCACAGATTAGAATGGGTTTCTCAAAATCGGGATCAATGAATGGTTGGGTTCCTAAAAGTTCCCTTCAAATACCAACCCAAAGGGGTCCGCCATTTTGAGAAACCGGAGATTTCTGCTCTACTTGTCCTCTCATTCCGTGTACAGATGGAGGGCATATCGAATTGCGACACGCTTTTGTCGGCTCAGAGCAATGCCTCAGTTGCGCTCAATCTGTTGCAAAGATGTGGCTGTGGGTCAACACCTTTGGTACCATTTTGGGGTAGGTGCACCACCCATTTAGTCTATTTTAGTGGGGATTGGGATGTTCACTGGGGGTACGATTTGGTGCACGTTTGCGAAGCGAAGCCGGCAATTGCACTGCATGTGTTTCGACACTTAGCACCCCCTTGCACTGAATCGATTGCTGTTTGGCTTGAATGAAAAAGCGCGTGTTGCTCTGACGCATACGATGTTGAGCGAATATAGCTACCACTGCCGCTCCTCGCATGACTTGACACAGACGGGGAAGGGGTGGCCAAACCCATTGCATTCGGAATCTTGCACATCCACATTTTAGTGAAGGCCACTCTGTCGAACAGCTTGTTTGAATAACTACGCCAGATTGCATGAAATTCGGAATATAAGGACTTGTGCACAGCTACAGTCCCATGTTGGCGGAGCTTAGCTGTAATTCAAGCCAGAATCTGCATGCCTTTGGCAGTCATGCAGCATGGCGTGTGCATTCTGGGATCACCGTGTTGTCCTTCCTTGCTGTCGTGCACTGAATCAACTTGTCAACTTTGTGACCAACGCGGCAGCCATTTGGGGACATCTCCTTGCGCACCGCTATCTGAGAGATTTCAGAAGCTAAGGCGGGACAGTTGGTGAGGATTCATGGGCACTTTTCTTCGGGCAGTTGAGACACACATGAGTTCGAAAACAAACAGAAAAACACGTGATGTGATCAAAACACCAGCTTGTTCGGGGGTTGTCATATTTTTTCGGCGTCCCATTGAGAGAAACGTCATTACGAGCCGGACATGTGGTGCTGCAAGGCATCATGGCCCTTCCGCAGACCGTGGGCAATCTCCTGGATGACCGGCTGTCCAAGCACCAAACTGAGCATTTGCAGAATGTGTCTAGATTCCTCGAGGTGTGGGTGCCGCATTGCGTCTTGCTTGGAGCGTGGTCAGATTCCATACGGCGTTCCATCAGTTTTCTTCTCTGAAACCCTTTTGCCTGTTTACAGGGTTTGGGATAGACCCATTTAATATCACGTCGTGATTCCGGCTCAGCTGCAACTGGCGGCAGCTCAGGCTTCAGGCGCGCATGGAGGCGATGGAGCAGCAGCAGCAGGACAAGGAGATGCAGCTGATGCAGCTCTTGGCAGGCCCAATGCGGGGTTTGTCCAAAAATAGCCGCTTCGTTGTTGCTCCCTGGTGCCGCCTTGTAAAGGGGCTACCAGAACAGGCCTGTAATTTGGACCACCCATACAATCCGAGTATTGCCTTTGTCCGATCCGTCTTAAGTCTGTGGCCCGGCCTTTGTGTCCCAAGGCAAGGCCAACGTGCATTCAGCTGCCAGCCGCCAGCAACTGGAAGAGCTGTCGCAGGCGCGAGTCCCTCGAGTTTATGACCAGGGAAAAAACTTGGTAGACTATAACTTCTGTCCCTTTGTTTTTGGTGTTGGTTGCCCACCACAATGAACAACCAAAGCAAGGTTCCAGTTCCAGTTATGTTTATTTCTTCACACTGGGCAACTCATTGAAAATCCCACTTGCCCTGCGCCATCGACGCCAGGCATTGAACAGTAAGGCGGAGGCTGATGAGGTGGCAACACCCCAGCAAGTCCTTGCCATCTATGATGCGCTGCAGAACAAGGCGAGCTGCCTGCGCTGGTTCATGTTGGTGGGCGGAACTCGGATTGGCAGCAGAAACATGCAAAGTTGATTGTTACTCAAGTCTATTTTTCCTGGGATCTTAAGCAATTAAAGGAATGAACAATGATCAAAAGCAGAAGTGTGGCCACGCTTGTCCCCCAGCTGCCATTGCTGAACGCCTGCTTCGTAGGCTGAGGCCTCTGAAGTTCCTACCACTGCTCAGCTGGAGGCACCTGAGATGCGTGTGGGGGAGAGACTTTGGGACTGCATGTCAGTCGGCTCAGAAAGCTGAAAAGCGCAAGAACTTTCAAGCGGCTATCCATAATTGATGGCTCAATGGCGCGAAAACGAGGGGAGCCATCTACCTTGAGCGAAAACACCCTGAATCAAGCATGTGCGCCATTTGCTTTTTGCACAAAACCAGCGCGGAGGTTCACATTGACACAGGCCATTCAAAGGGGGAAACATGAGAAAACACGTGACGGCCAAGAACACCTGGGACAAGAGGACTGGCAGCTGAAGAAACTGAATTTGAATGTCAGGAAGCTAAAAGGGAAACGAGCTGGACGCTAAACCATTCTGCGCCTGGGGTGGGTTCTGCAAGTCTTCCGAATGTCACTTCCACAGGAGACATTCTCAAGCTACGTCCTCCTGCGTCGTGTTCTTTACTCCAGCTTCCACAATGATGCGAAAAATCGAGGTCTTGAAGAGGATTTTGGAGCTGAAGGCCGATTCCGCGTCCGCGGCTAGCAAGGCGGAGCTGGCAGCAGCAAAGGACGGCTCAAACCCGGGCAATCGAAGGTTACTGGACACTTGTTTGCCATAAAAATCTGAGCATATCTGCCCTGTGAGGTCTTCACACTTGGGTCAAGCCCTTTTAATATCAGGTTTGGTTCTGACTCGGATTTGCCTAGGTCGGTGTTGCAGGAGGCATAGAGACGATGCACCTATGGAAATGCTCCCAGACTACGGGCACTCCCGCTTGTCGCACACAGACTTGGTGCCAGCCAGCACAAGCCAGGACGAGCTTGTTGCTCAGATGCGCGCAACGGCGGCATCGAGCAGGGAATCTTTGCAAGAGGCTGCTGAGATGCTTGGCCAGCACGCAGTGACCTTGCTGTACGTGTTTTGCTCCTGCTGCAGTTCCAAAGCATGCTCATAGATGTGGTAGTGTTGTTCTCGCAAGCTACAGTCAACGTATCCACCGACCTCGGACGTTTTTGGCATGCGTGCCGACCTCATTTCGTTCGAACTGGGCCCTCAACCGGTGGTTCTATGACCTGACCCGCGTACGCAGATCTAGGAGCGCCTCCGCCAAATGCGCGCAGTTGGCACTGCAGCTGCAGGGGCT